TTTTTTTTTTGTTATCCTTTAAGAGAAAATAAAATGCCTCTAAAATATTCTTTTTCATTATTTATTCTTTGGCATTTAATCATATTTAATTTCTTTTTCGTATATCCAATCAACGGATCTCAAGATTTACCTAAATCTATTAAAAGAGATTTAGTTCTAGACAGAAGCAATGTGCCTAAGAATATAATCGCTACTTCCCCTATTGGCGGTAAAATAATTATTATTTACTGTATTATAATTACCTTTATCACAGTTGTTAAAAATCCTTTCTGCTAACTCTAGGAGGAAGTCATCTTGGTCCGATGTCAGAAATTCTCAAAATTTTAGTGGATCGTGGATATAACGTAATGATGAATATTTATTTATTTAATTTATTAATTTTTTGTAATTTCTTCTTAATTTCTCACTTCTTTTTTATCCAGGTAACATTAATAGCACCAGGAAATTTTACTGCAAAGTCCGATTCTTATCGTTCAATTACACAAATAATTACTGATGAAAAGGCAGGCGCTTCTCTTGCAGATCAAGAATTATTGAAAAAGACTTTCTTTGAAGAATTAAATTTTAGTGAAATGATTAAAATGTTTAGTATTAGAAGTACTAAATCTTACGAAAAATATCATAACATATATAAACGAACTGCGGAAGAAATCAATGCTGATTTATTCTTTTGCGATTTGGGACTGAATCAAGTATGTTTCGATGTGGCCATTAAATTAGGAAAGCCTGCTGTGGGGTTTGCTTCTTCTTCATTCATGGGCAAGTATTTATAAGAAGTTATTTATTCGGTTACAACTCAAATATGTAAAAATAATTTTATATTTATATATTATTTATTTACATTAATAAATAGCGGTTACTCCACCATCATATAGTTCAAATCCTCTTTTTGGATGTCATGTTAATATGGAGAATGAATCATTTTATGAAAGATTTAGATGCGCAATTGTAAAACCTTCACAATTTATTTGGACTTTTATGACACTTAAAGATGATCTAAATAAACAAAGAGTAAAACTAGGTATTGAGCCACATTGGAACCTAAGAGGACGAATGGATAATATTTTATTGTTATTTGATAGTTTCTTTGGATTTGAGGTGATTATATAATTGTATTTAAGTGCTTAATAATAATTTTAATTATGATATGATATTAATAATATATTATTATTTCTTGTACAATAGATACCAACTTCTACATTACCACTCCATCAAGAAATTGGTCCTATTTTACCAGATACTTATCCAAATTTAACTCCAGCTCTTGACTCATTTCTCAATTCTCATCCTAGAACTTTATACTTTGCTCTTGGAACTAATGTATTTACGTCTCCTCAAAACATTGCCATCCTTCTAAAATCATTTCTTGAATTGATTAATCAAAATATTATTGATGGTGTAATTTGGGCTACTGTTAAAACAAACACTACTGAATTAATGTCATTAAATAATATTGACTTTCCTATTTCCGATATTTTAAATAATAACTATCCTCATATTCATATCACTAAATTTGCACCTCAATTCGCAATATTATCTCATGAAAATACAAAAATATTTTTAAGTCATGGTGGTGCATCTAGTAGTCATGAATCTATTTATACTTCAACTCCAATGCTAATCCTTCCAATCATGATTGATCAATTCGGAAATGCTGAAAAATTAGAGTCAGCTGGTATGGCGTTAAGACTTTCAAAACTTAATTTAAATGTTGATGATATAGTTTTAAAGGTTAAAAGATTGTTAAATGAAGAAAGTTTTAAAATTAATGCGGAAAGATTACAATTTGTAGCTAAAGTAAATAGTAAAAGAAAATATAGAGCTGCAGATTTAATTGAAATAGTAATGAATACAATAAAGTATGAAGGTATTAAAGATGAGAATGGAAATTTAAGGATTGATAATAATGCACTTTTAAAAGATTGGATTACTCCTGATACAAGAATGGGATTCATTAGAGGAAATTATATTGATGTTTATGGTACTTTTATTATTATAGTTTTAGCTTTAATTTGTGGAGTTAGTTATGCTTCATTAAAAGCTGTCAAATTCCTTTTTACTCTATTTACAAATCGAATCGGAAATTCTAAATTTAAAAAAGAATAATTAATATTTTCATATACATAATAAGAACTATCATTTATTTCATATCATTTTAGTTAATAAAATTTTATGTATCAACTATATATTAATTATCAATCAGAGTTCTTAATCTCACCATCATCCGAATCTAATCATAATCCGCGACTATTACTTATCGTTATGATAATTTGATACAATTTACAACTAATTTACAATTTGCCAAAAGAAATGTAACAATTATACTTTAGGCTAAAAACCATATGTTTACTGAAAGTGCATACTTTTGGCATTACCGAAATCAAAAGTATTCAATGTTTGAAATTATAAAGTTTTACCGAAGTTGAAGATGCACCAAAATTGAAAGCATTACCGAAAATCGAAAATGCTACCGAAAGTCGAATGTTCTTGAAATTCGAAAGTGCTATCAAAATCAATGACTATTTAAAGTCTAAAGTTTTTATAATATTGATGCTCTACGTTATTCTTCTTTTAAAATATAATATTAAAGTTCTAGCGAAAATTTTCAATGAAAATTTAACCATTGGTAAAAATTTTTAATTAACCATATATTAAATCATGGAGCTTTGCAATAAATTGTGACACTGATTTCTGTGATGTTAATAGTTTGAAATTTCCGAGATTTCAATTTCTAATCAATTATATATGGGTATCATTAAATAGGCCTATTTTGCGAACCCGATTTACTCAAAATTGTTTATATTGCGAGTTAAAATAGTTTAATATTTTTATTGATGAGTTGTTGCTTAGAATGAGTAAAATTTTGACTCTTAATATAAAGAATTTGTTTCTTATCATTAAATAATTCTTTAAATTTAGGTCTGGCGATCTTAGTGTAGTGGTTAGGTTGCTAGACCGCCATACAGAGGTCTAGGGTTCAAATCCTACTGTTGACGAAATTTGAATTATACCTAGACCTTGAATCTTAATTGGTATGGTAAACTCTGCCTGTTTCTGGGGGTTGTAACCCTGTAAATTAAGTTACACCAAATCACCAGATATTGGTAGTGTGACAAGCGTTTGAGGAGGTGTAATGTTACATGAATAAATCTTGATGGAATATATAGGTATGAGGGACTTGCATAGTAGAAATCCTGAGTAGGTGAAGTAGTACAGCCTTCAATGGTCAAGCCAGTTAACGCTTGATCCAGAATAAAACTTAGATTCTAGAAAGATGCAGAATAGGCTAGGTGCGAGTAAGTCTGATCCGCTGATTGGCAACACCAACCTGGCGTAGTGGCTAACTGGATTTGGGAGAAACTAACCTGTGAAACATCTAGATAGATCTAAAGTGGATACCAGTGGAGAGCTACGGAAGGAACTGGGGTTGTACGAATACTGATAAGAGTAATTACAATTCTCCTAATCAAGTAAGGTTACTACAAATATAGAGAGCAGATCAAAATTTGGGGTACACTTGTAAAAACTTGAAATTGCGTGATATATTAGGCTGGTAGTGGTAACAAGAAAAACAAAGGTACACTAGTCCTTCAGAACACTAATTATGTAGTAGTAGTATATCTGTATTATGAAATCTATGGCTAGAAGCAACTTATGTTGTGAAACATATCCTGGACCCCACCAACACACAGAAGTACCTATAAACAGAAATTAGTATACATACAACTTATCTTTGACATTACATTTAGGCAAGTCCATATCTTAGAATACCATTGTCATAGCAACCCAAACTGCACCAAATTGGATGTAGCCATAAGGTTACGAATACCTCATCTAGTTACCAATTTGGGAGTTATTTATAAGAAGTATGAGGAGATACAGTGAATATAGCATAGTAGTCATACTTGAAAAGAAAGAGGTTATAGGAATCTAGATAATATATAGTTGTAGGCTATGGACTACTCTAGTAGGTTCTGTACGAGAATAGATAGTGCATGTAAATGTACTGTAAGTCCTAAGCTTAATTTAATAATGTAGATTAGTTTGAAATTATAATGTAAAAATTGTAATAGATAATTTAATTCGCAATAAACAAATTGAGCTAAG